TACAAGGCTAAGGTTGTCGAAGATACTGGATGTGGAGGATAAATGGACAATATTAGCGGATCATCTCGGCTGTGGACACATGGTAGAGTTCATTCGAGTTTGTCTAGATGATTCTTCCTCGCCAACTATGATGTTGCTTGATCAATATGAAGTAAGTTTCGACAATTTTTATGCAAGAGAAATTTGAAAATTAAAAATGCATCTGAAAGTTGATTTTTCCCGAAAAATTATAAAATAAATCTATCATGTCCTCTAGAATTACGCTTTATGGAAAAAAAGTGATAAATTTTTTGGAATTTGCATAGGATTCTTTTAAATAACTATTTCTTCGGAAAATTCGTATCAATTTATTCCGAATTGATGAAAATGTTTGCAGCAAGTTCCAAATGCAAATTTATCAACTGTAACACAGTCCCTGGAAGATATGGGCGAAACACTTGGAGTACGTTTGATACAAGCCGGAAATGAGCAACAGTGAAGGATTGCTAAATCTTGTATTTTTGCTATCATTCTTTTCACGCATATATTTGATACTATTCGGAAAAATTCTTTTGGTATTTGTAATATATTTCAAGATGGACTACTACACTTACAAACATGTAAGCAAAAGCCATTTTTGAATTTCCTTACCTGGGATGTGTCATTCAGTTTACTTACTACAGCAACTTAAAACAGAAAAAATACAAATGTAATGTAATGAACATCTTTAACAAACTTATAGTCGAAATATTAGGTAATACATTGCAAAAGAACATGGATGACTTCCTTTCTCGATGGAATGTAACGTTTCGCGATGTAAGGAATCAATGACTGCGAAGATAACGTTGTCGCAAGTAATAATTGTACGGCATTGTGTCAGCTTTTTTCCACTCGGAATAAAGCAACTTGAAAAGAAATAAATGAAATACAATCATTAAAGCACCAAGCATCAACCAAAACATTATTGGAAGACCACCCAAACGATGACCATGTTTGTGAAGTGCAATTAATCCATGCTCATGAGCTGGAGCATCCATAACCTAGAACAAACAACTTTGTAAAATTTTGCTTTAATACCACGGATAATGTTTACTATCGTTTAACCACTGCGAAAAAACTTCCATATACTAAGATAACCAAACGCTTTAAATTTTGGAACTCTTGAATAAATAGAACGCTAAGAATGTACGATATACTGATTACTAATGCAGAGTGTCAGCCTTATACTTCTTTATTGACAGTTTAAGCAACTAATTTTACCCACTGAATACTAAACAAAAGAACTAATTGCCATTAACTGTCTCGGATTTTTCCTTGTTAAACACTATCTCAGATATCTGAAAAAAATCTGAAAATTATTTCTTTTCTTCAAAAACAGTAGCTAAACAGTAACAGGAAAAAGCATTACCTCAACAACGTGTATTGTTCCTCGCAATTGCTCGAGATGATTTTTGTCGTGTGAAATATACAAAATTGGAGTAGCTGGTTTAGTTACTTTGACCGGAATATGTACACTCGAGCGTCCGATAGCTATCGGATGATTTAAGCAGGCTGCATCACATGCGAAAACCTTTAAATTTAGAAAGTTCTTGAACACAACAGACGAATGATCAAGAAAATTTACGACTTAGAACAAATCATGCGAAGAGAAATTCCTGTGTAAAATGCGCACCTACACGTCGAAAAAGCTTTGTTTGTAGTTCTTAAAAGACTAGCAATATTAACCGTCAGTCCGTCTATGTTTCCTTCGAGCTCAAAAAATCAAAAAATTGGAAAGATATTTAACCTGAGAATCGGACGAGATCATGAAATAAGGTCGATTACCACTACTTAAACGGATACTGATTGAAACCCTTGTACTAGGAGAATAAGCTAAATTTATAACAGTAATTTCTCGCAGTAAATCAGTCGGATCAATATCTACTTCCAGATGTTCTCGTGAAAATCTATAAAAGCAAAAACAATTTAACAGAACACCTTTCTGAAATTTATATCTCATTAACATACTTGCAGAAAGATTAAGAAATAGAAATTGTTTACTTTGATGCAAGAAGACTGAGAACAAATGCTTCAGCAAGACCGCTAGCGCCAGCTTTCAAAAGTCCAGAACAGCCACGCTTCTCCAGTGTTAATAACCAGATATCCATCGTTTCAATGACTTCATTAATATTATCGGATTTCTTCCACAAACGAGAAGGTACGAGAAGCGTTGAATGCCCTGTATAACACACATCTATTACCTTCATTGATGCTGCTGCTGCCTGGAATAAATGTATATTCAAACAAAAAGAATGCATATGCATTTGAATGAAGATAATCTTTTCATATCCAAGAGTAAATGGTGAATTTCATAAAATACTAAAATTACTATTCATTATTTTGAGTGAAAAATTTTTATACAGGAATCCATAAAAAATTTATGCCGCACTATTACTCTAGCATCCTCCGTTTATTCTTGAAAAGAAAGATGTAAAGCCAAATTAAATGATATCTACCTCCTTTTGCTCTTTACTAATTCCAAGTTCCAGTAATGGATCACGCATATTTGATAGCAGTATATAACGCGTGGCATTTATTTCGTCAGCATTAAGAGCATTTGGAGCCAGAGATTTTGAGATACCAAATGTAATCGTATTCAACTAAAAAGCATATACTAAATAAGAATGACTCAATTAGCAAATAATAACGCAAAAATTTCAGTATTGCATAGCAATCTTTTTAATACCTCATGCCAAGCAATTGAATGTTCGCGATAGAGAAGGGTTCCATCCAATAAACTGTAATTTGTGAGTTCCTAAAAATACGGAAATATAACATTGCGTATCTTGGATAAATTAACTAACAGCGTTTTCTAAACAACCTAAATATAAAGTTCCATAATTCATAAAATTACATTTATCCTCATTTTGTTTCATCTTTATATTCTCCTTCAAAATTCATCTTGTTATATCACCTTAACAACCCAGTATCTTTCTCTCAACGCAAACATTCAGATTATTCATTAAGATTGTTTATGAAGCCTCTTATGCTCGACAAATTATTGAATCGACTGTTTATATCAACTTATAAGTTATGAAAGTGATGAGGAATGACTGCAAAACTGTTTAAATAGTTTAAAGAGGATGAATTTTTGGAAAATTATTCATGTTAAATTAGAAAATCTTCTATCGAAAACTGTCAGAACATAATAACGCACCTTGGTAATACTTTCAGCCAACAATTTTAACTCATCATTTTTTTTTTCGGCGGATAGTGGTGAAATATAATTGATCACGCACAGAAAGCGTAAAGAAATTTCATGTTTATGCTCAACCGTAACAGTCGCGGGAATTTTGGTACATATGACAGCAGCTAATATATGTGCTCCATCTGATTCAAAATAACGCGTATAAACTGGATCAGAAAAACTATTACTGAAACATATTTTGAGGAGATTCATCATAAATACTTGCGGTATGTTCACTTCATCCCATCTATTTATCTGATCAAAAATTGACTTGACTTATCCAGGTTCTACATCTTCAGTGGTGGCTTTTCTGGTAAGGCTGCCAATTGCACATAAAAAAAACTTTTCAATGGTTTGGTACTGTTACAATGCAGTGATGTGTTACTCATTAAACAGAAATGGATAAGGACTGCAAAGTTTAATAATGTAAAGAAGTAAACCTCTTTGTTTGCGTCCAATATTCCGAAATTTTTACAGACAGCTCGATTTCAACATCACTATTCTGAAAATAAAGCAAAAAAAATATGAATACCGAACAATAAACAAAATGGGACCATCTGAAATTGTTCTATTTTTAATAAACTGTATTTAAATACTTTTTGAATAAAAAAGAATAAACACCGATGGATTTGTTGCCTGAAGTTCTTGGATCAAAAGATGTGGTCTTCTTCGGTGAGCATAAACACGTTGCGTAGTACATACACATTGATCCTTCTGCAGTAAAAGATTAGTAAAAAGATCTATTGATGTAATAAATCTCATAAAACATTCTTCTGAAACAAAAGAAACTAGACATAACTTCAAGAATCGATGATAAAAATTACGTACAATACGATAACATCGTATAGTGATGATGGTGCCGTCACGATAATCATTTATATAACTTTCAGCATACGATTCTGAATCCTGAATTTTTGCATTAATAATGGGAGAAAAGGCACTTCGTACTGATAAAACCCGAGACGTCTTTAGTCGCAGCTCTCCATTACCACCCATTCCGATAAACCTTAAAAAGCTTTTGTTTAATAAACTATTTAATAAATTATATGTCTAGTTCTTATTGAAACAATTTTAAACTAATACGTCGACCTGACCACAATAGTAACTAGCATGAGCTATTAGTGCACTTCAAAAGTTCAAAAAATGAAGAAGTATTAACAAATAACAAAATTAACCCATTTCCAGTAAATCCAAACTTTTTGTTGGAAATTGCAATGAAATTCTCGTTTTCCAAAATTTTCCAGACATTTAAACGCTCATTAAGGCATTCCTGGGATTCTGAGATATAAGGCGAGGAAGTGAGGGAAGATATAATGAAATAGAGTGAAAACAGGATGAGAACAACCGTTAAAGAGACCCGTCTCGGAATGGAAAGTTGCCGTAGCCATTTCCTTAGCTCAAAATCATCCAAGCGCCTGCACTGTACCCTTCTCAGAGTTGACAACATCACTAGCTTATCACATTAAACTAATCGGTTTTATGCCACTGCTTGCATTATTAAATCCTGAAAAAATTCTGTCAACATTAGCATGTATCACTTAATAACAAGCAAACGCTTAATTCAAATATTCCCAAACTATTATTTATCATATTAAAGCTCATTCACGGCATTATGTAAATATAATTTTGTAAAATATAATCGTACGTGTAATATCGAGATGTAAAACAATGTCGAGAATGCTGCAAACCAACAAACCGGAATGCGACAAAAGAAAGAGAGGAAGAAAGACATTAACGTTTCACAATGAGTGTATTCAAAAGTAGTTGGACCGTCGTTTATCAGTTTGCAAACTAAGGTGGTGATAGTGATTGTGATGGTGGATGGTCTCGTTTAAAGTGGTAAAGATGACATGGTATAGTTGGAAGTTTATTAGGAAATCAATAGGATATATTTATTTCAGGCTATCACAGAATGTTTTATCCATGCTATATCGATCTTGGAAAAGCAGCCAGGGAGTTGTTCATGAAAGGATATAGTTAGTTTAGCTTCATTTCATTTCACTCAGATTTTTGCATTTCTATATTTAGATTACACTTATATTTAGTTATATGGAATGGGAATAAAAATTTTCAGCTATTTTACATTGTTGCGAACTACCGAACTTTTTGATCCATTCAGTATAATTTACTATATCCATTCATTTATATAACTATACGTTGTTAATCATGTCTAAGTCTTATTCTATACTATAAGTAAGCTGTCATGCTTGGTGCCAAGTAATCCATAGAGAGTTCGTATATTTGAAGTTGTAAGCAAATAAAAATTCTTTCTTCAGACGTAGAAGAAACAGGACAAAACTAAGAAGTGCGGGAGAACCGCACTTTTGGTTTTGTCGTGTTGTTCCAGCTCTTAAGAGGTTTTTCTTTTTCTTTTTTTTTTACTTCAGATTTTGGCTCCCTGCGGGTTGACGCATGTTCCAAATCAGGCGAAAATCAGGAGGTCGAGTTTTCCAGTGCGGCTGTGCACAGTGTTGCTACAGGAAAACTTGCTGGAAATTTTGACATCAAATATCGTATACCTTCTTATGGTGAGTATATCTTTTTTTTCATGAGGTGTTGGTGTTACTACATGCATTGAATATATGCATGGACGTTTTATCTTCGTTGTTTATTAACATGATTAGAGCAAATAATTTTGGTATTAATGAATAATTTTTAAAATATGAAAAATTGGTGTTAGACCATGTACATTTTGATTATTAGTTTGAAATTATTTTGAATCTGGGACAGATAGTTTTTCGTGTAAAAGTACGAAATTGGTGTACTCCAGGTGTGGTATTGACAGAGAAGTGGAATACGGAAAATTTACTGGGTACAATTGTTGAAATACAGGATCGCTTTGCTCGTGGTTTAAAACTTACGCTAGATTCATGGTATGCTCCACATAATGGCAAACGATCAGGTCGAGTGAAAGGTGAATGGGTGAACAGGAATCTTACGGTGCATTATTTTCTCACAGTTTTGTTTTCTTGCATTTCTAGTAGTGGTATGATTGAGCTGCTTTGGCTCGTTCAAAAAGTGATGATAAATTACTAAATATTATTAAAAATATTTCTAAAATATATTCCTATATTGCTGATGGCATTATTTACATCTCGTTTTTCATGTTTGTTAACGTGACTATTTTAAAAATGACGCTGTTTAGAGTTGTGGTGATTTGTTCTACCGAGATCGATTGGTTCACATTAAAGATTTTACACATGTTCCGCATAACTCTTCCATATATTCAATTTCCTTAACATTGTAGTGCCATCAATTATCCAAAACATATTCTATCAAAAACTGCAGAATAATTAAATCTGATGTTATTGCTTTTTTAAGTTCAATCTTGATGTTGGTTTGGATACTGGTCCTCAAATCAGTTTTTCTGGAGTCACTGGTATGCATGGGTGGTTGATGGGAATACATAGCGCATTTGATGCTTCGAGCAGTCAGCTCAAGGTACCAGTATTTAATTACTGGCAATTAAATACACTGTTGAAGTTGATCATTAAGCCATTCAGTAAATTTCGTCCTAGTGAAGTTACTTATTTTTGATATTGTCGTTTGCAGTTCTTGTAAATTTAATGTTCGATAAGCATAGAAGGATGAATAGATGTTTTTCAGGGTCTTAGCTTTGCATTTGGAAGAATAGGAACAGATTATGTTTTGCATTCATATGTGAACGATGCACGAGAATTCGGCGGGTCATTCTACCACAGCGTTGCCCATGTAATTTTGGTTTTTTGTTTTTATGGAAATTTGCTTATATATGTAAATTTATGGTGCAGCATTTCATTTATTCGTTTTGAATGAAATGAGATTTCTGGAGAGAGTGAGCAAAGTTTACTTTTTTGCAGTGCAGTAATTGTTGCATTTCGCAGCGATTAAACTGCTTTCTAAAGCTGATAATGTGATGATCAACGCAGCGCTGCAAGGGGCTCGGAATGGTGACCTCTTCTTGATCGATCTCCTTGCATCAAAGGGGGGTTTTGTTAGCTGCCCTGCTGTCATTAAATTCTTAAAAGATCTTAAAATATTGCCTTTTTGACTTCTGAAAATCTTTGTGCTTGCAGAATTTAGAAGTTGGCGCTATGTTTAGCTGGATAACTGGTGAACCAGGCACTCGTTTTGGTTTGGCGATGAAGTACTGTCCTACGCAGGATTTAGAATTGAAAGCTAAAGTCGACCATGATTCAAAACTTGCTTTTGCACTTACGCATAACCTCTCAAAACAGGTTTGTTTTTCAAATATTTTCAAAAAAATGTATGTCTTTGGTTCAATAATCATAGCACAGCATGAGGCAGCACTCTTGTCATTATTTGTCTCAGCAGTTATTATATACATCGTTTATATTTTGAAAAATTCTATTCCTATAAGAAAAATGTCTAACGATCAGTTCACTAGTGAAATATCGCTAAGAAAAGGATTTGAGAAGGCAAAATAACGATTTCAAGTTTCTAGTTGGAGCATTTTTTTGACAGGTTTAAATCGTAGATGAAATGATTATTAATTAACATGTAAATTTCAGTTGAAGTTGACGCTTTCATCGCAGTTTGGAATGGCATCTTTCAGTGAAGGACATAAATATGGAATTGGCCTGAACTTTCACCCATGTTGTTGAATTCTAGAGAAAACGTATCTTATCCTTGACATATGACGAATGCTTGTTGCGGTCGCATTCCAGTCAGTATTCTTTGTTTGTAAATCGTACTTTAATGGAAGTTTCTTAGAGGCGATAGAATGTATCCGAATTAACTATCAGTAATTCATTTACTGATGGCGAGTTCGTGATGATCTTTTCACAAGATTTTATGAAATGACCATTACTATTTATGTTCACATTGTTCTCATGTTCACATCAGTAAAGTTCTATCTAAATTTATCGTAACATAATTGATATATCATTCATTTGCAAAGTCGTGGATTGAAAATTTATGGAACAATGAGAGTTTTATGAATCTGTATAACTTCAATGTCTAAGCTGTAATTCCAGCTGGATTTGAGAAAAAATTTGCTTTTTCGATGACGGTAATTGCTACTAAAGTTAAAATAGTATTGGATGGTCAAGAGGTGTTTTGTCGTATGCATTTTTTAATATTATGAATTATGGTCACTAAAAGAGTTCCTTGATCATGAACTGCTTAAATGTAGGTGGATAAACAAACTTCAGTTGTATTTTATGAATTCTTTGAAGGGAACATCCTGAATTTCCTTTTCTGAAATATTTATAAAATGAGGAAATCTGAGCAATGTGTATAAGAATTTTGACTGCAGCAGTAGTGTAATAGTGCAGTCGACGTTTTTTCTTGTCAAAATTTTAAGTGTAATGTAAGAGAATCTGTCTCCAGTTCATCAACAATTTCAAGAGTACTTTGGATGCTTCCTCATTTAAAACCAGACTGATACTGAAAACTTTTAGGATAAATTATATTTTTAATTTTAAAATACTTCATCGTTGGTCTGTGTAAACGAAGTCCTTTAAAAAATTTTAGAGATTCTGAACACAAATTGTACTTTGATTTGTTGTTGTGGCGCATATTAGATTATTTTTTTTACCGTATGCGCTAATTAAAGATTTTCTTATATGTCTGTCTTTACCACTGAAATGAACAACACAGATATACTTCGAATGGATGGTATGAATGAGGGAAGTATTAAGAAAAAAATTTTTTGTTCTGTTTCAGTCAATTGAACTAGCTTTAAAAGTTAGAGAGATAGATGATGGTGATGTGGAAGAAGATGAAGAAGAGAAAAAGCAGATTGTTTAGATGATTGAATGAATAAATGAATGAATGAATGAATAGATGGATGAATGAATGATGAATGAATGAATAGATGGATGAATGAATGAATGAATGAGGGAAGAAAAGAAGAAAGAGGTGGTTCGTAAGATACCAATCATTGTTAGCAATTGCCCACCAGACTTCCCGTCATTTTACTTGGCTCAAACAGACACGATGAATGTGGTGGTAGCTTTGCATCTCACAGTTCTATTGCTGGTAACCTCAAGTGTTACTGGCAAAAAGGTATTTGTAAACTTTCTTCATCATATTTTATTTACCTAACTTTTAAAAATACTTTTAACATTTCTTCTTTTTACCCTTATCTCTACACTTTTCTCATTTTTAATTTTGCTCTATTCTTGGAAACATTTATAATTCGTATCTAATTGTAATATTTACTATCAAAATATAGGAATAAACTTGCGAGCAATTTTTTTCTTTTTTGTTTGGTAATATGGAAATTTTGATGATGGGAAAAATTCCATAATATTCATTAATATTATTTGGGAATTCATATGAAAAAATTAAAATTAAATTTGAAAATTTAGAAAGATAAGATGTTTCAGTGTAAATTATTTTAACAAAGAGGTTGACATTTACAGTTACTGTTTGGAAAAAAGATGATATTTGAGATACTGTATTTTCTTGGAGTTTATTGACATCTCACATAATGCTGAGAAGGCTTCTGATGATGTTAGTCCGAGCATATTCTAAAACTTTAACTTGTCATCTTCGTCTCTTCTCTGCTGAATTTTAGCATAATTAAAATTCTAAAACTTTGGTAAAAAAATTTAACTTGAGTTGATTTCATTCATAATTTCAATTGTAGATCGATCTAAATCAAAAATGTTTCTGATACGGATCAATTTAGAATTTAATCAACGTAAAAAACATCCTTGTTCTTCTGTTAGCTTCAAAGCATCAAAGTCATTTAAATCCACCCTGCCACGAAAGACCACAATAGGATAATAATTGGATATCAAAAAAAGAAAATGGAATATATTAAATTTTAAATTGAATAATTTCATGTCATAAGCACTTTCTACATTTGATTACCAAAAAAAGTTTCAAGCTGCTTAAATAGTTTAAAAACAGAAAAATTGATTTTTTTTGTGTAAGCGATGTTATAAATTTTAAGTTGAAACAAAAACTTTAGTAATATCAATCTGGAAGTTTCGTCCTTTTTAAAATTGCCTAGTTAAAAAGATTCGAATATTTGAAATTACAAACATTCGAATCTTTTTGTTGCAAAAAAATATATGCTAGTAAAATATCAAAATGAAGTAGTCTTTTGGGCGAAGATATGATTAGCAATTAATCAACCGACCGTCGAAAGAGCTTGAACTATGTTATACTTTTTTTTAGAAAATAAAAAAAGTTGTTTTAATTCACTAGCTAATCATCCGGTATCAAAATTACTGACCAACTGTTACCTTATACCAACAGTTTCCTTTTTACTTTTCAGCAAGCTTTTTTTTTTTAATTTCTTTTTTTTGGCCAAAATATTTTTGAATCTTTTTTTCTTTTTGGTATCCTTTCACATATTTCATCATTTTCTTCCATTTAAAGCATTTCTTTTTTAAAAAAAATAGATTTTATAAAAAGTTTCAAATTTTTTGAAATTTTTTATATTTTTTAAAATTTCTATATTTCTGAAATTTTAGAAGAAAGGAAATGATTGGGATGAACTGGAAACGTTATTGGAAAATATTGATGAAAAGGTCACAGAGCCAACTAAAGATTCTAAAATTGGTTTGTTAATTTTACTATTTCGAAAAGTTATTCGAAAAAAAAAATTAGGCAAAATTTTCTGTTAGGATGAAAGCAATTGTTAATGAATCTATTATAAACCTTTTTTTTTTTGAAATAGTCTAATTAATGTCCAAAATTATAATGGATGATAAAGAAAAAGTTAGAGAAGAAATGATTAAAATTTCAACAAGTTTCTTCGGAAATTTTCCGTGCATTGTTTGCTTTTCTTATTTGTTCTCAGTTTACTCAAATTTTTTGCAAAATACATTGTTACCTAATTCAATTGCTATACTTTTCACTGAAATAATTCGAATCTGAAAGTTCTAAAATTCATTATAACTGTTTGGTGAAAAATGAATAATATTCTGAGAGGTAGAAAATAAAAAAAAAATATTCTGAGAGGTAGAAAAAAAAAAAGATGCAGAAAAAAGTTTCAGTACCAACTGGAATGCAAAAGAATCCTTGCGAAGATCATATTTGTGGATGGGGTAAGGAATGCATTGTTGACAAACAAGGTGAACCAGTTTGTGAATGCATTTCGAAATGTCCACCATTGGATAATGATCCACTTGATCTGGTTTCGTTTAAATCAATGTTGAAATTAAAATTTTTAAAAACTTTGAATCATACTAATTATTTTTGCTTTTCCAACGGGAACGAATCTTACTGTATAAAATATCTTGAAATTATATATTTTCGAAAAAATTCCAAAAATTACGAAATTTTTTTTTTTTTTTAAGAAAGTAATATTTTCAGGTTTGCAGTAACACAAATCAAACATTTTCATCGTTGTGTGAATTATACCGGGAAAGGTGCCTTTGTAAACATAAATTTAAAGAATGCAAAGTTAGTCAAATTTTTAATCTTATTGTATATAACAAATCGTTAAAGAAAATTTTTTTCAAATTACCGGATCATGAATTTACTTTTTTGATTTATTCGATCATGAACTTGCCTATCGTAATGTAACATATTATTTCATTCTTAAGTATGCATATCTTTTAATACCATGAAATTTCATAAAATATTCGACTAATGAGTTATCATCAATGATTGTAATTTAGAATAAACTTAATGCAAAAGTTCATTTGGAATATTTGGGTGCTTGCAAGAAGCTTAACCCATGTACCGATGAATTGATGGTTCAATTTCCAGCACGAATGGCTGACTGGCTCTTTCAGGTATATTTAAGTATATCATAGTTATTAAAATGAAATTTTTGTGGAAGATATCTGGAAAAAATCAATCACTAAAAATATATATTTACGTACACTTTTAAGCGCAAAGAAATTCAAATTCACTGAATCATTTTCCGATCGAATTTGTGTAATGATATTTTACGGGCTTTTGCAAGAAAGATGCAAAGAGCTATTTTGACAATTGTTCTCATAATACTGTTGAAATTAAATTTGACGTAACTTTTCTTATTTAGTCTAAAATTGAAATATTTGGAATATTTGGAACGGTGATAGTTTTTATTTTTGATGATCAAATATTTGTTGGCTGGTTTTTTTATGTGTCTGTGTTGATTGAATCATTCCGTTTTTGTTTATAATTGAGAATAGTAAACTTTGCTGATAACTTGCAGTGGGAGTGTAAAGATGAATAAAATAAGACAAAAGTGTTGGTAAATTAAAAATTGGTGAAAAAAGAACGAAATATAATTTTAGTCTATATGACATTGCTTTACATCTATTTTAATAGCTTTTAGCGAAGCTTTCGTTTAAAACAAAATTTTGAATAAAAAACAGAAATTTTAAAGGTAATGCGAGAAATGAAGAAACGACGAGAGTTGCATAATTTAGAGTGGGAAGAATTGATCGCAGAAGCAGAATCTGATGACGAGAAAAAGCATGTTTATCCTGTAATATGGAAATTCTGTGATTTAGATATTAAACCTCATGATAAGCATGTATCACATCATGAACTGATTCCTATCACAGCACCCGTTATTCCAATGGAATCTTGTATCAAACCATTCCTAGAGAATTGTGATATCAATAATGATGGCAACATTTCTATCAAGGAATGGGGCAAATGTCTTGGTCTGAAGGAAGGTTGGTTTTTTTTTTTAAACGATATATTACCATATTATCCTAGCAAACAAAATTATTCCATCACTTATTAGCTAGTTTATTCGAGTTATAACCAATCGGTAATATTTTACAAAACAACAATGAATTAAAAAAGATATAAAAATTGATAGATTTAATAGAGAAATGCCTTAGCTTATGTTAAATTACAAAAAAAAAGGGAAAAATGCAAAATTTTTGTCTAGTATGGATTGTCATTATGTTAGATATCATTTATTTATGATAACAGTTATTTAATTTCGAAAACGAATTTGACAAACTTAACATACTGAAGCCAAACTTTTTAATAAAAAGAATTGACGGACATACAAGTGACTAATAATGAGCAATTAAAATTGTCAATAGCAAACCAAAACGACGTTAACTTTAAAAAAACTAAATATTTTTTCAAGCAGTTGAAAAAAAAACAGTTAAAAATTTTTGCTAAACTAGCTAAAATAAATAGTTAAAATAAAAAACTGGAATTTCGATTGTTCGATGATTTCAATGAAAGTATTTTCAATGCACAAAATGAGTTTTAAAAATCTTAGATATTTAAAAAAAAACTTTTTATTTTTGTTTTATTTATATTTGTAAGACAAAATTTATTACACTGCTTTTAATAAGGAGTCAAATTTTTTTGCAGGTGAAATTCAAGAACGTTGTTAGAATAGAAGTTGTGGTATTCAGACACTGCCAATTATAATTTTTATTGGATTTGAAAAAAACGAAAAAAATCTTTCTTTTTCTCATTTATCATTATAGAAAAAATTATGAGTACTGATTATCATTTCATAAGTATCATGCCATTCTATTGTCACAATGAATCAATTTTTGGGGAAAAAAAAATTTTTTTGAAAAAAGAATTTGAATTTTGATCGTTAGTTAAGGATCAGTCATCCATCTCTTCATATGTAACATGTCAGTTGTCATCTTTGATCATGTCATTTAAAAAAAGGAGTAAAAAAAAGGAAAGAAAAATAAAGCATAAGGCAGGAAAAGGAAACAATAAACAAACCACTTTGCCATTTTATTTAAATAATTATTATCACAATGAGCAGAATGAGATAAGCATCATATCTGCTTCTCTTAATTCATCCAAATTTCATAAATTATGACAAATCATATATTATAAAGGAAAAATTCATGCAATAGCTGTGAACAAAAACAAAAAAAAAAGAAATTATAAAATACTTAAATTGAACAAATTTAATTTTTTTTCTTAGAATTAGTTCACACAATAATTATTATCACAATGAACAGAATGAAATAAGCAATATATGAGATGGCACAGAGATGGCATAATTATGTTTAGATATTAATTCAAAAATGAAATTGAAAAAAAAAGTTTCCAAATACCGTACCTTCAACCTAAACATGATTATGCCATCTCCATGCCATCTCATATATTTGTAATAATTAAACTGAATTAATATCTATTAAATGCATTAATTTTTTTTTCAAAACATCATAATTAATTTTATATCACAATTTTGGATCAAAGTTCAAGATAAGAAAAGGCAATCGTTTAGTTCATATCCAATATACAAAACTGTAGTCGAAGATGTTGTATCTCATGATTAAATTAATTAATTATGATGTTTTGCAAATTTATGGACTTGATCCAAAGTTAAAAATGCGAGACAAATTGCACCTTATCACGAGATCAATTCAGTTTTAGTTTAGAATGTGCATTGTAAAAATGAAATTGAAAAAAAAGTCAGTTTCCAAATGCCGCACCTTCAACCTGAACATAATTATGCCATCTCCGTGCCATCTCATATATTTGTAATAATTAAACTGAATTAATATCTATTAAATGCATTAAATGACGTCATATTTCCAGTGAACTATCAGAAAGAAATTCAGTGTAACATGAACTATTAAGTGTAATTTAATCTGTTAAGCCTCAGTTCTTCTTCCAGAAGGTTGGCAAGAGAAATGCTTAAATGAGCAAAATTTCAAACACTTTCGGATAAATGAAATTCAAGCCATCCGTTTATTAATTAATTTTTAAATGCTTTTTGAGAAGGAAAAGCGAAAAGATATAGTACGGATCAGAAACGAAATTTAAGCTATTCCTTGACAGATCAAAATTTAGTCCTTCCCATGGATAATTATCAGTATATTTTTTCTGCGCATATTGCCACATTAGTCTTTTACAAAGTTAAACAAAAAAATGCCCCATTTTTATGGAATTTAGCAATTTATGAGATCGTTGGAATAAATCATTTTTTGCTTACCAATCACTGATAATGATAAATGATAGAAAGTACCGGATTTCTGAACATCTGTTCTTGAAATGGAATTTCAGACATTATTGCAAGCAATTATGGCATTACTGATATCAATTAAATCTAACTTGTTAATTTTTAGAAATCAAAATTTTTTTTAATTTAAATTCCTATCATTACTTGAGGAAATTTCAAATGAATGAATGGAAAATTTTTACGGATATCTCACCGGTTAATAATTTCGTACAATCAAATAACATATTTTCCTAAATTTATATTTATAAAACTTCTTTGGGATACCGTTCTTTTGAATGCTGCAGTTGATGATGAACCGTTTTACTGCTTCAGGAATATTCACACTATTAGACGAACTGAGTAGAAGTTGGTAGTAATGGCATCGGAGGTGGCATAGTTGGCTCACGCCAACTTCCCTCATCCACGTGCTTATTACCATTTTTGTCATTTCGTTCTTCCAAAGATACAGCTTTTTCCACATCAAATACGGTTAGTTTACCATTTCGTTGCAAAAATTTCATCCATAAAGATTCCGTAAGACGTGCACACACGATGTTACCACCATGTGAAGCAATCATCTGGAAATTTCTGCTTGAAAAAGAATATCGATTGATCAATTCTTGACAATCGATTGATTAAATGATATGATTTTGATAGGCGATATTGTCAGCTAATATTTTAGAATGTCCACATACTGCGCCATATACGATCTGTATGTAGCCGTATCACTATTAGAAATGCGTTGCATTGAATGACGGATGTGTCTCTTCTTTTCAGTTTGTCACTAATTTACTCAAATTTAAATTACACTAAACAGAATATTTAAGTAGGAAATGTTTAAAGGGGACCTTCGATGAATAACTCTTCTTTTCTGAAAGATGTGGAAGTAGATTTTTTTAATTGAAAAATTCTTGGCAATAATAAACTCCTTCATTTTTCTTTCATGAAATTTTCAAATCAAAAATTAACTATAACCAATAGTAAAATTTCCATTTGATAAAAACATACATGCAAAATGAGTACACCATCAGGACGAAGGAAATGATGTACAAAACGATGGGTCTGATTAGATTCACATTCCAAAAATTCGGTGACAAATGCATGTCGCCATTCTGCAAGTGATAGTGACAATGTCCAGATGATCATATTTATGGCAGTTCCAAATGAGAGTAATAAAAGCCAAAGCCACAAAAAGAGGAATATCTTTTCCGTTAACATGTTGACAACGAGAACGCATTGTACCGTATGTCGATGTACATTACCCAAAACCCGTATCTCGAAGTCACATAGTGTTACACGTGGAAAACGTCCTGAATCACGCCATTCTCGACCCTGGAAATGTCACATTAATTAATTAGCATTTTTTTTTTCAATTACCAGAATAATTCTGTTTCATATACATCATATATTGTTTGCATCTATAACGCACTTACAATATAATGTGGTTAAATTAAAGTTTTGCATCACATGCAAATGCTTTTGCAAAGTACAATTTTAAATTTGACTAGCATGTTATATAAATTTAAATATTTCTTAGATGGCAAGAAATTGGTATTCGGAACGAAATCATGATTAAATTCAGTGGTCAATCAAAGGCCTCATGAAAAATTTCTCTCCAATAAAAGTACTTAAATGGTACTATCCGATTCTGGAAAGGTTTGCAAAATTTTATCATTGAACTAAAATATAAATTCTGATAATAAATAAAAATAATTATACCATGATAAGGTCATAGAGAACATGACCACCGAAGAATGGATAATTGGATGTTTCCAAAAAGTTATTAAGCATAATAAATTGTAGAATAACATTACATAAATGTAAGCTTTTCACGAACAGATAAACAACTGATACATAAGCTCCGTAGATTTTACCTAACTTTAGCACTGCAAATAGGTATACCTGAAATTAATGTTGAAATTGTTATGCTTTGACAAATTTTAACCGAAATTTCAAACTTATTTGAAATTTTGTAGAACTGCTAAGCAAGCATTTTTTTTTTTAGATCATTTCTTTCTGCGCAAAAATATGATGGAAAATTTTTTAATTAACCAATGTATTTTTCGTTCTATTTATGGAGAAACTTTGCATAATGCAAATTCCGAATGAATTCTGGACTTCGCCAGCAAAAATTAATTTAATCTTTTATCAGTGCAGGAAATCAGTAACATATAGCTGTGAATTGTGAACGATTGAAATTTAATTAGCTTTAACGTATGCTTTCTATATTTGCAAGTCTATAAATAAGCTTTTGCGCCACACAAAAAGGTATGGCTTCAAGATAATAGATAAGATGTAATTAAGTGTGGCAATTAGGATTGATTTTTTAGATGAATTGAAGCATGTTTGATAAAAATCATGAATTGATGAGTTTTTCTTATTGCTTCATGTATTAAATGCAACTTGATATCACGTTAGACACTGTCATACACAGATTTATCGGGCAAAAAAAAAGATCTAAAATCATCTATCAAATTATCATTTTTATTTGTTGGTTAATCAATCGGTGATATGAATTATTTATCTTTATGGTACCACTTCAGTATTCTTTTAATTTGCATGAAGCTTTAAAGATTTACATTTTGTCACAGTTGCTTCGATACAACTCAACCAATACTACTACTACTCTCGTACCGGACTAAATGCCAAAAAAGTTTGATTTCATAGGAATAGTTGATATAAATACTCACACTTTTATTTCGACTACCATAATCACGCTGATATTTTAGCGCATCATCAATATGCCTAGTCAGTACTTCAACAGAATGATCTCGTATTAATGGATCGACATTTTGGTCCTGGCTTGCCAATTGTATTACCAGTGACATGTTCAATCCTGCAGTTTTATTATCGATTTCCATCAATTGTTTATTTTTAACTTAAGCTATCATATTTGGCTCGGAAATGCTCGAACATCTCATTCTCCTCTCATTATTGCTCAATGTGAATAGTGATAATTTTAATTCTTTGCTCTTTCGTATACATAGAAAAATCCCTGTCTTGAGGCCAATATTTTTTACCAATGAAATAATGATCACCATTCCCTTATCTTCGAAATGATATTTAAAACAATAATAAACAACAAAGAGAAATGGATAATTTGTGATTTGGGCAAATTAGAAACTTCCAAAATCAATATCAGTCACATCAAAAGACACTGATAAGATATTATGAGAGGTTAACTTTCAAAATATTAGGTCAATACTAACTTCTCCTTGCCGTTTAAAGGCGAAATATTGCATTTGAGTTGTAGTAGTAATAGTAAACAAACACCACCATTATTGATGTAACAGAGAAGTTTATCAATTGTAAAGAAGTCAACGTATTCTCGTTGAAATTAAAATTGGAAAAAATTTTTACAATAATGAAAATATTAAAAAGATGATCACCTGACTGTGTACTAAGTATTCGCCAGACAGT